ACAATGAAGTCCATCTATTCTTCCTCCCAACTATGAGTAAATAGCAGGACAGAGTGAGTCCTATAGTCTTGGTTGGCAACTAGTCTAGGAGAATGAAAACTCTGAATGAGCATGGTGAACGTTGGGCTCCATCAGTCTATCTTGCTCAGAAAAACAACACTGCTACTGTGGCTGCATTCATATATATATATATATATATATATATATATATATATATATATATATATATATATATATATATATATATATATATATATGTGTGTGTGTGTGTGTGTGTTTTACATTTTCTATATATCAAATATATGTTTGTCAGTAATTGTGTCTGCATATATAGATCATTAGGACTGGTGTCTGGTAGAGGTACACTTTGGCCAAAAAGTTGTTTCACCGTGGGGAAAAAATGGATGCAGGTTCAATTCCTGTCAGAGGTACAATTTTTCTTTAGACAGATTTCTCAATGCTGGGTTATAATTGATTTCAATGTTTAATAAAAGAAAATGCAGGGATAGCAACTCAAAAACATGTACATTGTTGACTTCTTTGTGTTGTGGAATTCAGAGATTTCTTTCTCTTAGACTGGTTGCCATCCCAGGCCAAGAAATCCAGTCTACTGAAGCTGAAGAAGAGATGGATTCATCCATTTTCAATTGCATCTATGCGAAAGTGAATGCAACAGGCGAGCCCAGAATTTGAACTGGTATTTACTCCTTCCCCCACTAGAACAAGATGTGACACAAGGTCGGTTTAATGTGGGGACCTGAACGCGTACACCCAGGTAGGGACAAAAATTCCCCTCATCCTCGCAACCGTCGGTCGTGCTGGCCCCGGTGCGAGCACTGATCCCTCCCTCTGGTGAAATGGGTGCCCAGAATTTGAACTTGGCTCATCAATTTCATTTTCTCCTGGACAACTATGACATTAATGCCACAATCAATATTTATAATATTTGAAACCATTGCAAACAAGATACAGAAAATGATATTTATAAAATGTAAGAGAAAATATTAATATCATTTTTTAAATTGGTATTAAGGCTGTAAAGCCACAGAAACATTATTAATAAGTGGGAAGAGGAAAGAGTAATCAGGAAGACAGTAGATAGTGAGTGACATTGAATTTAAATTTTTGCAGATTAAAGTTGGCTGGAAAGCATGGAGCTGGAAGGGAGTTCCACAGATGAGAATTTGAGAAAAGAAGCTGTTAGCATAGAATTTATTACAATTCTAAATTAGTGACATTTCAATGCCAGTCTAGTACTGCGCTTAAATTTTAAAAGTCTAGGTACCATAGTGAAGAGCTCATCCGAACAATTACCAAAAAAAAGTATTTATAGAAAATGTATAGAGAGGCTCTAGTCATAAACAAATTCCAATCCCAGACCACTTCCCCTATAATGAGATACCTTATGCCATCCCAGCCACCAACACAAGCCCCTTATCATAAACAAGGCATCTCTCAGAGGAGGACTCATACTGAAAATAAATTTAAATCCTCACTTCCAGATAAACACTTAAGAGCTGAAGATGGCTGGATTCAAACCAGCTTGAAATAGACTATACTCAAGTTGAGGTAATTTTGTTTTTTGCTGTAAGAATTATATATGCTCTGTTATAATAAATACATCAAGTTCTCTGTAGATCAGTTTTAATATTTGTTATTATTAGGATCCACTTGTATTATATACCAAGGGATCTATTACCTGTACTATATATATATATATATATATATATATATATATATATGAAGAAATATAGTTTTAAGTCTTATGTCTGACATCCATTAAACATGGCACATGGAACTAGAACAGTCTACCCCAGTCAGTGAAATAAAGGGTTCAGTTCGACATTCCAACCACCTGAAGAAGGCCGGAGCATACAATGGCCGAAATGTTGTAATAAATATGGTGACAAAGATGAGGACAATAGTCTGAATAATGTAAATAATGTACATAATACCTCATCTCAGAAATGTAGACAGATAGAGAAAATGGTGATAATTGTATTTGCTTACAATCATGTTGAGCAGGCAGCCAGTGAATGAATTTAACAAAGAAACACATCTGAAATTAGTTCTGACCATTTTAAGCTCTGAATAATAACTTTGTACAAGTCTGTGAAGTTTACAATAAACTTTCTGCTTATCTAAAATGGATTAAATGCTGTCTGAAGTTCAGAGAGAAAACATCTGTACTCCATTGGTTATTTTGACTAATATTCCATTCTTTGTTACTTTTTTAGTCAAAAAACATAGAACAAATAAAAAGGACTCCTGAACATATGTATACTTTGATTTTGTCTTTAGAAAATTATATCAGAAAAATAAGAATATTTGATGCTTGAATTACAACAAAATGGTGGACATCTCATTTATACATAAAATTAGTAATTATTGATCAAATTTTTAATGAGTTATGATGTGGGTCCCAGACAAAGTCCTATCTAATGTCAATTCAGATACAAAATTAGAGCATTAGCCTCAAAGACTATTGCTTGAACCAGTGCCATATTTAGGACAATGAGGTCCTGTGCTGGTAAAGTTATGAGCCCCCTTACTTGGGCCCTGAAGGAGGTAGGCCAGGCCTGCCTACATAATCACTGAAGGAAGTGCGGACCCCACTGGCCAATGAGGCCCTGTGCTTAAGCACACCTAAGCATAATGGTAAATCTGGTACTGGTTTGAACCTCTTTTTTGATCATCTATTTATCTGACATTTGACTTAAAATGACTTCATTTAACCTGGTATATGCAACTGGCATGTGTATCTGGGTTTTATTTCATTTTTATCAGTGGAAATACATATTCACTTTCTGCAACATGAATTGAATTTGGCATGCTTCTCCTAGGTTTAAAAAGGAATTGACAAGAAACCTATTCTATACACTTGGGTTAAATACTATAGAAGGTTCATCATTGGACTAAACCAGCAACTACTCAACACTTTCACCAGACATTTAAAGTGAACTTTCAAACTTTGGCTTTTGCAGACAACTTAACTTACTGGGACTCTACTTTTAACAGTCACAGCTATATTATTTATGTTTTTCTATCCAGTTGGTATCCCTGAATTTACTTAATTATTCCTCCATTACTTGATTCATTGTTGGTTCATGTCTCTTTTTAGTACTTTTAACCATAACACTACTTTTGTACCGTATGTAAATAAATTTTCTATTGATTTAAGTTTATCATTTTGTTGTCTTGTCAGATTCAAGTCTTCTATTTGAAAATGTTAGTGGGCTTCCTGTGACTATATTTATTGGGGCACTATATTTATTGGGGCACACAGGGGGTCTACAACATTCTTGAATTCTACAAGAATGCTTCTCCTTCATCTTGAATAAATAGGAAGGGGATCAAATCAATCATAGGTTGTTGTTGGTGGTGGTGGTGGGGGGGGGTTCTTAAAATAAAAGCAAAATAGTACAATTCTTTCAAATGTCAATTACATCTATCTGTTGCTTTCATTTGGAGTGATGCTAAATTTGATAGCATTTCATCAAGGAATATTAAACAAATATTAATGGAGATTATATTTGATATTTTATTGAACTTCATTAATTTTTCTTATTTGACACATTTCAAATTAAAACCCTCGGCCTAAACCAATGAACCGATAATTCTTTTTCAAAACTAATTTTTCCCCCTTATAGTTATTCTATTCAAATTATTTTTTTGTAACTTTTCATCTACATAAAGGAAATAAATTTATAACAAAAAACAAAATTTTGGTAGGTGATTTCTATTATGAAGTGGGCCCAGTGTACACCCATAGTTGAAATTTTTAATTAAATAAAAAATATTGTCCATGCTAAACAGGTGCCATTTCTTTTTCTGAAGATGATCATGATTTATATTTTTCATGAAGATAAATCTCCTGGAAATAATCCAAAAATGGACTCAGGTCTCAAAGGTATTGATACAACTACAAACATCAGAGAGCAATATATTACCTTGGAATCATCCAGTGAGAAAAAGAAAAAAAAAGATGCCCCTTGTGTGGTCATAAAATGGATAGAAAAATGCAAACTGTCATATTTGTGAAAAATATTTTTGTCAAAACCATTTGGAAGGATTCTGTGCAAATGTGTTTGATGAATTGTAATTTTTAAAAAATGTAATTTTTAATTAAGTTTATAATTTCAAACTCAATGCACGAATGCACTGTAATTTTTCTGTTTCATTGAATACATTTGGATTAAAATTGTTATTTCTTTGTCCATCTATAATTCTACAAACCAAATGCAAAAAAAATGCAAAAAGTTTGAATAGTTTAAAAAATAATAGAAATGGGTCCATATGACCCAGGTGGTATTTAATGGTATTCAGAGGGTTAAGATTCTTTCTTTTGAAGATATTAGAAATTTAGGAAATTTAGAAAGAAAAGTTAATTTTAGATTGCATAAAAAAATGAATGTAATATCTTTTATTAAAAGTTGATAGGATAATAGAATATCTATAATGTTATTCCATACCTAAAGGATTCTAAGTGTGTGGTTTAGATTCAAGACCTCATACTGTGGGATGTTCTGCTATTGAACCCATAGCTGGAGGGGCAAGAGATCAATTCATACCTCTTTCCCAAGAGTATCTGTGAATGTAATTAACTTGACTAGAATTTGAACTTGGCTCTCTCATTCCTAATTCCGAGCTACTTTTTTCTTTTCCCCAAGCCCAAGGGGGTATCATCAAGGGCACCTGCTTTGAAAGTGTGGTGGGGGGGGCATCAAGAGGGCCGTTATGACTGAGCTAAGGGGCATCGAAGAAAAAATCCTTCCAGCAGTTCATAAAAGCATATAAAAGAAGGATGAAAAAAGTGACACAAGGTGGGGGGGGATTTGAAGGGGAAACCATGTACTTTGTTGTTTTGAACTGAAATAAATTGTTTGAGATACAAGTCCTGTTACTTTTCAGAAGGACATTTCATATATTATTTTTTTAATCTGTATTACCCCATTCACAGCAGTGAAGCAATTAAGACACCAGGGGTTACACATCCAAACTTACAGCACCTTGTATTTCCAAGTAGTCACCCATTTGGGTACTGACCATGCTCAAAATTGCTTAACTTTGGTAATCAGATGAGAACTGGTGTCAGATAGAGAGGCAAACTTTGAGGGGAAAAATGGATGCGGGTTCAATTCCTGCCAGAGGTACAATTTTTCTTTAGATTGATTTCAATGCTTAAAAAAGAAAATGTGGGGATAGCAACACAAAAAACGTGTACCTTGTTGACATCTTCTTGGTGTGAAATTCAGAATTTTCTTTTTCTTAGATTGGTTGCCATCCCAGACTAGAGAATCCAATCTACCAAAGCTGAAGAAGAGATAGATTTATCCCCTTTTCAAGCACATCTATGCTAAAGTGAATGCAACAGGCGAGCCCAGAATTTGAACTTGGCTCACCCAATTTGTACTTTTTATTTCATGACAATGTAAGCATCAAAATAAACATGCAGATTTTATGATAAATCGACAAATTAAAATTATTATAAATTTGGTAGTTTTTAGTTCTTTAATTCACATACATCGAAAAATCCAATTCTGGGCTGACAACTATTTTGAATTTCACAGTTGAATAGATACAATGTTTTCTTTTCTAATTCTTTGAGCACCACATTGAATGCATGGCCACCTTTCTACTTTTCAGATAAGAATTGTTATATAGGAATAAAGTATCACTGCCAACACTTGGGTTTGAAAACAGATCGCCAGAGAGCAAACACAGGTGATTCCATTATGCTTGTAACTCAGTAACTCCTTGCATCTGAGTGGCTTTTATTTCCTTGCTTGGGGTAAAATGAAAACAAACAACAAAGGGCACTATAAATAAGACTGGCTATATATAGTGATAGATAAAGAGACATTATTTTCTATCTATCTCTCAGTACTACATCCCTTCAAGATGAAGATGATCATCACTCTCCAAAATAATTAGCAATACTTTCTTCTTTATGATACCATTTTTCATTTTGCGACACCATCCATTTACACAAACTAAAATATGTTATTTGCTGTTTTCCTAAATTTCTTATGTTCAATCTATCTTGTGAGTATTAAATTCTCCAAGCTTTCTTTCCTCATTATGTTTCAAAATTTAAGCTCTTTCTAATTGTTATTACTATTTTTTGTAGCACCTACTCTACTTAGAACCTCATAATTTGTTACATAACCTGTCTATGAGATTTCCAACATTCAATTGAATCATTTTTGTTGTTTCAACTCTTTTCTGTCATATTGTAGATATCACATTATATTCCAGTGCAGTTTTCTTCATTTTTAATGTTATATTTTGATCATTTAGTTTGTGAAAATATTTCCTATTCCAGTGTACCTTTGTTTGCCATCCTATGCATCTTCTGTTTTTACAATGTTGAACTATTTGAATTTCAGTACTTATTTCATTTTCACATCCCCATTGTGTAACTCACATTTTAGGCTCCCCATTTTCCTCACAACTATACATTATGTTTTCTTATTAGTAATCAAGTCTTTTTTGCTTGCTTTCCTGTATGTTGTTAATTTTGTATCTGCATGTATCCTGGTTTTCTAATTCTCCTAGAATCATTTTGTTTTACAGTTTAAATAAATCCGTTGAGAAAATGCGGCCTCGTTGCATTCCTTTTTCTATTTTGCTGTACTCACTTGTTATTGTCTCTTTGCATATAGGATTTTGTTCCTAATAAAAAAGATCCAACCTGAATGACTATGGTAATAAAATAAGCACATCCCATCTCCCCTATTGCTTGTAACCATCCATTCTAATAAAATAAATGTTTTTCACCACTAAAGCAGAAAGAGTCAAATATACAGGGTATGCTGGATAAATTGTCGCCATTTTATATTTTTAATTTTGCACATGTGCATTGTTTGTTTTTGATTTTGTCAACTGCATAGTATAGAAGTATTAGTTGGGCACCATTTGTAAGAAAAAGAACGGCAGAATGCAATTTACTCCACCATAAATTTGGAAGCTCCAATACAAACATTTCAGAGTGTTTGGGTATCAATCTGAGTTCTGTGCAGAGGATGCTGTGTCCTCAAAAGATGTATTGAGAGTGAATAAAACCAAATATCCCATCAGCATCATGGGATTTGGAGTGACCACAAGTGATGGTAATGTTAAGCCTCCATTCATCTTCCCACAGGGCCTCAGATTCAGCACAAAGGCCCACATCAAGAGCCTTGAGGAGACAGTGTTGCACTGGGTCTTAGAGGGTGGCTACAGGCAGACCCTATGTCTGGCAACAGGACTCTGCACTATGCCACACAAACAGGAGAATCTAGTCATGGCTGACAATTACTGTGATGACATCAACCTTTCTGGCCACGTAACTCCCCAGACTGCAAACCCCTTGATTATTATGTGTGGGTCACAATTGAATGAAAGACTAACAAACTCCTTGTAACCCCAAAGATGAACTGAAAGTAAGGATTATACAGCATTCACCAACTTAAACAAGAAGACCACCCAGAAGAGATGCAAGAGATTCTGAAGTTGTCTGGAGGTCATGGTTGAAGCCAATGGTGATTTTATTGAATAAATTTACTTTTTAGTATTTTAATATATTTTTGTTTAATTTTGCTAAATATATCCGTTAAAATGAGATGTCCATGTTATTTTCATTTTTGTATAATTTAGACCACAATTTATCCATCGTACCCAATAGCTTCATCAGGATCTACCTAGAGTTGGTACTATATTATAGTGGCCAAACTAACTATCAGTACTGAGCAAGTCTCATGGTTGCATTGTTTCAGAAATTAGATGAGTATCATTAATTTTTGTTGTTTTTATCACAGCATTTTGATTGTTATGTTCTCCAGTTCCCTTCAGTTATTAATTGATGATGGCTTTCCAATAAGATAATTTAATAAAATTTGCTATGATTTCAGTCACTTCAATTCACATATCTTAATGAAATTCTTGGATCAGATAAAACAACAAAAAAAAATATAAGGATACAGAAAGAAAGTCCCATTCATGATCATGTAGATATGAAAGTCTTTAATCAATATTATTCTATTTTGATGCTTTCTTGAGTATTTTTATCTGCATTGCATTAAATTGTACAAACTGTTTATTTATGTAGTTTTTGTAATACTTTTCCCTCACCTTACAATATGGCTCCATACCTATTACTTTAACTCTCTTTAAGTAATTTATTTACATTATTCGGACTATTGTCCTCATCTTTGTCACCATATTTATTACAACATTTCAGCTGTTGTACATTCCAGCCTTCTTCAGGTGGTAGGAATGTCGAACTGAATCTTTTATTTCGCTCCCTTGTGTAGACTGTTCTAGTTCTGTTTAATGGATGTCAGTTATCATTATCTCCTGTTAATTCCCTCCCCAAGTTCTCCACTGCCTTAACCAGGTATTGAACTCCTCTTTGGGTCCTGTTACTGGATCTAACTAACACCTTTATCCTCAAGGACACATGGCACAGTGGATAAATTTAGTTATATCCATGAAAGGACCCAAATAGTGGAGTTCAATATCAATTAAACAGAACTTGGAGAAAATTAACGGAGATAACTGATGACTGACATCCATTAAACATGGCAAGAAACAGTCTACTCCAGTGAGCAAAATAAAGGGTTCAATTTGACATTCCAACCACCTGAAGAAGGCTGGAGCGTACAATGGACAAAACGTTGTAATAAATATGGCGACCAAGATGAGGACAATAGTCTGAATAATGTAAATAATGTACATAATACCTCATCTCTTTAAGTAGTTAGAGAAGAGATTAACTGAGTTGAAATACATAATGTAATGATGCTAATCTTATTTGGATTGGTGGGATATGATTATATTAAGATGTGACTTAACTTCTTGATAAATTTTATTAAACTTTTGCTTGAATGAAATTTTATGACATTTGCATTTCATATTTATCATATAATAAAAATTTGTAATATTAAAATTAAAACTACTGATTTTAGATAAAATAATTTAAAAGCATTGTCATATTTTCCTTTTTTATGACCTCTAATTTGGAATTTGTATATCATTTACTGTTTACAGAAATATAGCCTACTGTTAACTGAACTGATTTTACTAGTGCAGATTCTCTAGTTGTGAATACTGTATATACTTGCGTATGAACAGAGAAATATGTGATAAAAGAAAAAATAAAATTGATGATAAAATCGGGATTCAGTTTATATTCAAGGTTAATATTTTGCTGATTTCCCCAATTTCAATATCTGTGTAAAAAGTGCTAAAACATCTGCAGTGATTGTTGAAAAGACAAAATAAGCTAAAACTTGAAGGAGGAATTTACACTATAACCTGTAATACTTGCCACAAGGAATACATAGGAGACACTTCAAGGAATTTAAATAAAAGATTATATGAACACAAAAGGGATCTTTTACAAAGCAACAGATTCAGTGCATTAGTTGCTCACCATTAGGAGACTGATCATAATTTTGATTTAAAAATGCTACTCTAATTAAAATAGAAAGACATTTACTGCAGTGTCCATGTTCTTGAAGCATTTCACCTCTTTTGACAGATCGATTTTCACAATGTGCAATTCTTAATAACAAAGTCATAAAAAAAAAGAAACTAAAGGAAATCAGCTGGACTATATACAAAATACATATTTTTATAAAAAATTTAAATTTAAATTTAAGATTCACAATATCCCCTCTCCTTTGTGTGCTTCTAATTTGTCATAGATTTTCCTAAAATTGTTTTTAATATATAAACATTTATATCTCATTTTCCCAGTAATTGCTGTACAAAAAAACACAATTTTTAGTGCTAAAACATAATTTTAGATATATTTTGCAGATAATGTTTAGTACTCACAACATTTATTTATGTTGAAGTTCAAAAATGGTGAATTAAACACTTGCGTTTTTAATTATTCTGTGAATTTTATATATAAACGTTATTTTTTGCATATTCCTTTATTTTCCTGTTATACAACATTTGGGTGTCAAAGCTTTAATAACTTTCCAAAAATGGATCTATTTGTATTTGTATGTTACTAAGCTTTTTAAGGCAGGCTATTTCATTTGATGTCTGCTAAACAGAATCTTGTTATATTTGGAAAATGATGCCATTGTTGTTTGCTAA